GGCCACAGACTCGTTCACCGCCGCGTGACCGTCTTCGCTCTTGGTCTCCGAGTTTTGGCTTGCATTTGCCACAGACTCGTTCACCGCCGCATGACCGTCTTCGCTCTTGGTCTCCGAGTTTTGGCTTGCGTTTGCCACAGACTCATTCACCGCCGCGTGACCGTCTTCGCTCTTGGTCTCCGAGCTTTGGCTTGCGTTTGCCACAGACTCGTTCACCGCCGCGTGACCGTCTTCGCTCTCGATCTCGATGATTTCCTTCGTGTTCTGCGCCGCCGTGGCATCATCTTCGCTCTCAAACTCCTCGCGATAATGACTGCGCACATACTGGGTCAGACGTTTGTGTGACACACTGTACTGAAGAGAGAGCGCGCGCGTGTCCGCAAACGAGAGACCATTGCCAAGGCCCTCACCTACAGATGCGCGACAATCGAGCTCATGGACAAGCTCAGGATGGGTCAGGCGGAGGGGAGGAGCAATCCTGGCCGGGCGTACCTGCACAGTGGCAGGGTTCCATGCCGAGGTGTCGCGATGTGGCTCATTGCGGAGAGCAGGATTTCCACCACGGCGGTTCCGAGCAAAGGTTGCGCGGCGCCCTGCAAGAGTGAAGTCGTGTTCCAGCTCTCTTTGAGCTACAGAAGACCTGAGTCCTCCAATCGTTGCACCCAAGTGCTGACCTTCGGGAAGCTGCTTGTGCCAATGATACCCTTCCTCAGCGGTCGCTTTAGGATAGGGAATCAATGGATCTTCCTGCCATTGCCGCTCGCGCTCTGGGCTGTTCGGAGCACCCAGAGCCTTTTTGAAGGCGCGTGGTGAGGTTGCGCGAGAAGTCCGATTTGTGACATCGGCAAGAGGAAGCGTGACGGTGGTCGACAACGGTGCCGCAACTCCAACGGCGGCCCCCTTGTGCCGTTGATGAAGTTGCAATGCTCTCGCATCATTGACTCTATAGCAAGATTGCAAGGAGAGAGAGGCGGCCTTCCTGAAGTAACACCAGCAGCAACCAAGAGGTTCTCAGCCGCCTCACGGAATGGCGTCAAGCGGCTGAATCGGAGATGCAATCCACCTCTTGCAGAGTTGGCCAAGAGAGGACTAAGGATGCTGATGAGAAATTGCTCCGCATCTTGCTCTGCGCTGGAACGTTGCCATTCTAGAACCGTAGAGTCTACAAAGAAGTCGCCTGGTCAGCACAAGTGACAACGACGGCGGCCACGACTCGACCGTAGATTACGCGCGCCCATCTCGTGTCCCTTGACTCACCTGGAAATCCATCAACTAACGCATACACGGACCATTCCCCCGTGGCCCAACGTGATAGACGAGTCGTGGCCACCGTTGATGCCGAGCGCGCATTGTCTTCATCGTTGCGGGCTGCCGGTCCATTGCCATCAAAGTCGCGGTGCACAGTACCAGCATACTTGATAAAGCCCTCTCTTCCCCGCAGAAGCGACGTCCAAGGCTTGTCTCCGGGACACTTTTTCTCGTGCTCCTTGAGACGCTCGTCGCTGAGGGGCAGCAGATCCTTGCAAATGTAGTGTTGACCATTACCATTCAACTGGAAGCATGGCCAGAGGCTCGAAGCGGGATCGAAGCCAAGGGGGTCTCTTGCAAGGTTGTAGAGTGCGCACAGAATCTGTGGACTGTGTAGCCAGCAATGAATCCGCGAGTCTGGTCTGTACTGCAAGGGGCCCATCTCATGATGCTCCCAGTCGTTGCGAACCAGCTGCACTAGTTCTGCCCTCGTCCCTTTGACGTTGTTTGGGAACCTCAAACTGGTTTTGAATGACTGAACATTGGAGTCTATTTGGCAGACACACAGCTTCCAGTGGACCTCTGCCGCATGCGGTGCTCTCACTTTGTGTGCACCGCCTGAGCAGGCTGGTGGTGTTTGTCATTGACTTTCAGTGTCTGTCTCCAATGCAAGAATGGACTCTGCTGTGCATCAAGTTTTTGCGCTGACTCAGCTCAGCAACTTTTCACCATGAGATGATAATGTGCAGCAAGCTCAAAGGGTGATGGTGATGCAGCATAGCAGTGTATGATGTGACCTGGCATGACACATGTTGGTGGGCAGTAGTCAGTAAACAAGTACCTACAATGTGCTCTTTTCAGAGCCAAGCCTTTATATGAGTGCCAGAAGCTCAGAGACTGTTAGTCTGACGGGGGAAATGGCTCAGTGGTAGAGTGGCTTCAAGGGAAGGCTGAGAGCAGATTAGCTGCAGTGAGTTGACCCAAGCTATATTGCTTGGCAGGCATTTGATCTTCAGGTGGTTGTGCACGTTCACAATGAGATCCGGAAAGGCTTTGACACATGATCAAAGTAACGTCCACCGGAAGCCTGGTGGCACCGCCTTGTTGCGAGCAGAGGTGAGATAGCGTGAATAGATGATTGCCTTGGGGGTCTAGAAGGGCTTGTTGTTGTTGGTTGAGCATCTTACAGGTTCGCTCCGGTATGGTGCTGCAAAGATACTCTCCCTCTGGCGCACGCACATAGAAAGGCGTGCAGGGGCCCATGCGCTCCGCTTGATCAACATTGGGCTGGTTCGCAAGTCTAATTACTGACTAGTTGTCTGAGCAATGATCTGAATACGTCGCCTCCCCTCTGCAGCCACTGAGCAATGCATCAAGCGTCTGTAAACCATATTGGGCCGCCAATGTCCTTTTCAAGTTGGGCTCTCTGCAATGTACTTCCCCCGTTCAGAGCAATTTGGCGCCACTCAAGGAACAGCTGCAAGATCACGCACACAAACCAGAGACATTGGCCTGTGCTCATCATGGAGGGCTATTTGTGTTTCTTTATACATCAGAAACTCATCTAGACATCTACATTCATTGGACTGGCCTGCTCTTCTCCTTGTGCAAGCACGGCTTTGCAGCACTGCACTGGTGCTGGGTGGTCATGGTACGTCACCCGCAGGCAATAATTCACAACCTCGAATGGTTGCAGTGCTGGCACTGCTCTCGATTTTGAGAGGGCTTCTGTTTGGGCAATAAACAGAGCCTAAGTACCCACGCCCAGTGATTCCAGGCAGAGAATCATTGTAGTGCCCTTTTGGCTCAGTTGGAGAGCATTGCTGCCAGATTTGTTGTCGCTACAGCATGGGTTAGGCGTCATCCAAGCACTTCTGCTAGTCTTAATTGTGCCCACTGCATGTGGCAGCACAAGAGTGGAGAGAATTTGTCATGACAGCAGCACTGAGTGAGGAGACGGAGAGGCCCCTCAGTCCCTACTGGCCACCGCGCCCGTACCAGCACTTCCCTCCAACGGAGCCTGGACAAGAGTCTGACCGGATACCAGTGCAAGGCCAAAGAACGCCACGGCCTCATCCTTTCAGGAATGACTCAAGGTGAGCAATTGGGAGTGTACATGTAATGACAAAATTCAGTGGTAATGACCAGAGATGTCACTAGCGCAGATAAGGTTCTGTGCTCAACAAACAAAAGAGCAGGGAACAAGCAGCTGGTGAGCAGAACAGTACAGTGCATGCATACTCAGCTAGCATACAAGGAGGACAGACAGTAACAATGGTGACTGCTGGGTGATCAAGTCCAGTCGCCAGGCAGAGGCAGTCAGATGAGGTTGCAGTTGGAGAAGATAGTGGAAAGAATGATGAATTTGAGAGAGGAGGAGGCTGGATGAAGGCCTCCTCATATACCTTTTGTTGATGCTTGTCTGTGTACAGCAGACAAGCATTGAGGGCTACAGAGAGCACAGTGTGTGTGGCAAATACATGACAGAGACATAGGCTGCTATGTGTGACAATACGCATCATGGGGGTGGGTCTGACCATGTCACAGAAGGCTTGGCACTGTTGCAGGTGCAATGCTGCACTGGAGAGTATGCAATTGAGCGCGCAACAAGGGCAGTGTGACAGTGCTGTAGTGGCCATTTGTCTTGCCACATCCAAATCAGGTGGCATTGCAATACAAGTCTTGGTACAAGCCTTGATATCAGTCAATCAGAGCCTGCATTGAGGGGGTAGTGCCAGGCGCTGTGTATCCATTTGTTACAGTACAACAGCTCTCAAGTCACTGTACAAGGTTTCAGGCAACGAAGAAGAGCTACAGGGCAGGATTGACAACTTGCAGGGCGGAAGCTCACCACCAAGTTGTCCGCTTGATGAAAAAGCAAGATTCACAAGCAAGCAGTTGAGAGCAAGCTGGCGTCTCGAAGATGCGAGTTCGAGGGTGACGACAAAGCAATTGGCACATTCAAGGGGACAGTAGTGAAGGACGCAGAGCAAATCTGGGAGCTCAACATGAGCTCACTCCCTCAAGACTTGTAATTGAGATGCTCAAATGGAAAGCCGAAAAAAGCTCTAAGCCGCAAAAATTGAAGAATTTGCTCACAACTGGAGACTCAATGTAGGCTGGACAGCTCAAGCACCTTCAGCAACTGACTCAAAAAAGGTGTAGAGAAGGAATTCCATTCCGTTCACAATGCAATGTCGATGCTCTGCAACGCACTCTGATGGTCTTCCAGACATCCAATGCCTCACAGACATTCACCACTGCGCCCTGTGCATCACTATGATCCTCAGCCAGACCCTTCTATCTCTCCCTTACTCTGACTGACCTCACACACACTCTTATGCATGACAGTGTCTCTCCCTCATCCTTCATGCAGCCAGCAATGTGTTAGACGCGTTGACGAATACACGCCGCGCGTCCCCACGTGACCGACGCGCGCACCGCAGTACCCGAACCCATCCTCGCACGCCCGAACCCATCTTCGCACACCGCAGCGCCCCCTTTTCCTTCCTCTCTTCCTGGTCGCAATTATTGTCTTTACTCAGCTATCCTAGGATTTGCCCCGCTTCTGTGCCATAGTCACCAAAGCATCCGAACCTTCTAGCAATAGTATAGCATACTTGCCTGATCACCCGAAGTACC